ACTGTGATGTACTATGCTATTTACTGACCCCTTGTGTTATTCCATAATTTTCTCAGGGCTGGCGCCTTCAAATGCTGATGACAACAAACCCTACACTACTATACTGTATGGGAATGGCCCAGGATACATAATGGAAAATGGAACCCGTCCAGCTCCAAATATTACTAACATACGTACGTGCCGAGAGTATTTTAGCACTGTACCTTCAAGCCATTATAAACTATCATAATAAATAAACTTAAATGTAATATTAGTATATAACAGGATTAGCTCCTAGCTGTTTAACCAGGGATTGAAGCAACATTTGACATTAATGCTACAATCATGTTGTGAATTTTTATGAAGATCCTGAAGTGCCTTCTTGAGATGGTTTTGGCTGCTGCAAAGAGGTTAAATTGAATTTAGCTATTTTATTCTTCCAGATACCCCAGGGCCAGTGAGGTTTCTTTAGTACTCATTAGGACAATAGAAAGCTTGTGCTTAGTTTAACTATAACGATCTTTATTTTACTGCTTTTGCATAGTTGTGGGAGTCACTTCTATCTAGCTGGGCCCTTTTGAGCATGCCACATTTTAATATCCCAGGCCCAATCTGGCTAGAGATAGTCTGTCCCTACCCTGTAACTACCAATACATTTGCAGTATTGTTTTCGTAGTGCTGATTCCTAACCAAAAAATCAATGAGCTCTACTTACTGTAAGAGAACATGAAACCTGTGCTGTGTTGCTGGGATTTTAGAGAATGTTGTAGCTCCATCTCGTGGCTGATCACAATTATAACATAAGGCTCAGTCTTGCGAAATTTTGTATTCAAGAAATGTTTGCCAACAAGACAGCCTCTTCATTAATGTACTAATTGATAAGATCCAACAACTAAGAAATAATAGGAATCCTTTAACCAAGAAGAGCAGAAATGTTTAAGAGCTACACAATAACATACAAACCACAGCTTTCCAACAGAATTTGGTTGTCTCCTATTCTGTAGCAGGTGAAGACTTAATAAATAACATTTCCATTGCAATACACAGCCTGTTATATACTGTATCATGGAGAAATCCTTTCTGAATAATGGCCTTGATAGTTTGATTAAGAAGATGAAATAGAGGCCACATACTATGAAAAACCAGATAGTACATCTAGAATGTCAATAAGACTTGGTTCTACAAAGATCCTGTGGAATTGAAACTCCCATTTTGTTTTCTTTCTTTAGAAAATAAAGCCTACAGGCAGCAGAGTGCTGTATTGCTTGATTCAGAGACTCATGGAGCAGAAGATGTCGCCATTTTTGCCAAAGGGCCTATGGCTCACCTGTTCCACGGGGTGCAGGAGCAAAGCTACATCGCACATGTCATGGCCTTTGCGGCCTGCATAGAGCCATATGAGGCCTGCAGCATGAAAGATCCTCCCAACGGATCTGGGGCTCCCAAGACCAGCCTTCTCGTCCTGGGCCTCTTACCAATGGCCTATGTTCTCAGCAGTCTCTGAAACACCAATTCCTTTACCTTGCAGTTTCTAAATCACACACTGTTTTTATTGTAAGAGAAAGGTAAATAATCTCCTTTGCATTTAGAATTTCAGCCCTGTAACGGTGAATCATATTTGAAATGTTGAGGAATAGTCATTCCCCTTCAAATGCATGTGTTACCCTCTCACAAACCCCACAGAAAAACTTCAGGAAAAAAACACATAAATGTAAAATCATGGCAGGCCTTCAGAAAAAGAAAAAAAGATACAATAAGGTTCATTTTAAAATTCAAATAACATTCATTTTTAAAACTACAAAGAAGCTGTACAAACTAGCTGAGTTTAATTGAGAAAATAAATATCAGAATTCTTCAGGATATGTTAAATATACTTAATGTATATAATACATGCTTTTCTACTGTAAAATGTGTGCAATGATGTAGTGTATTTAAAATGTAAATGTCAGACAGGCCGGTAAAGGGGTAGAAATATGCTCTGTTCTGAATCTAAAGATACAGTCATACTGAGAATTCAGGCCTCACATTATTCCATTGCTTCAGAGATCTTTTTAAGTTACAGATTAGCTGTTGTGAGTAACAGCGCTATATGCTTCCTGGTTTTTCCTGCCATCTGTAAATTTAAAAGGCCCCAAACATTCCTTACTTATAGATGTTTTACTTAGTAGGCATGCCATGAATCTGAATTATTAATAAATTATTATTCATAAACAATTGTTTATTGCTGTGATATGTTTTTCCATGATTTTTACAAAAAGTGTGATTATAAAAACGATTTGATTTGTGATCTGTAATTGAACAGTATTTATAACGCATCAAATATTTTTGACAGTGTTCAGATTCACCCCAAAAACTGTTAGGCCAGATGACAAGCCTGCGCAGTTATAGACATGAAAATTCTCATGAGAATACTCTAGTCCCATGATTTAGTCTTGGAAAGTAAACAGAAATTCTTGATATTTGAAAAATGGACCCTAGAGAGTTGGCAACAATTCAGTATCATATTCTTCTCCAGTGCTGCTGTGATAAAACACTCTGCAACTTTGCACCCCACTCAGGACAGGACATCTAGATGCCTGGATCAAGAAATGCCATAGTGTTGTTACTGGTGAAATTGCTAACTTGAAACATAATGTGATTCAAGCACAGTGTTTTAATAATCACTGATGTCAATCTTAACGCATTATTAATGCAAAAATGAAGATGTTTAATTTTGATATGCCACAGCAGTTTTATAAAATGAAAATACCTAAACTAAAGATGACATTTTAGCTGATAGTTTATTTCAGTATAATCATGGCGTGGGTGTCGGTGCGAGTCTGTAAGCCTGTCCATTGCCATAGCAACGTCATCTTTGAAATGATGTGAACAGGACAAACTAGGACAGGAAGTTAATCCTTCTCTGTTCTCATTCCACAGTCCTTTTCGAAAGCAGAGTTTCGGGCAATTTAACTGGCACAGAATAACATACATTCATCTTTGTATTTTTTAAAAGGCTTATCAAATAAAGACCTTAACAAAAGGCACTTGTTGATGATTTTACGACTGGAACGAGAATATGTATCCCCATGGTCAACGGTGGTGTATTGTAAATGATTGAAAATGGGGAAACAAATTAAAAATGAAGACAAGGCAGACTCTGTAGACTGAAGTAATGTAGACTGAAGTAATGAAGACAAGGAACACGACTGTTAGTGGAGACATACTTAGATGTCCTTGGTAGGTTAAATACTTGTCCTTTCCACTCTGTTAGTTCATATTAGATTTTTGGTTCATGGCTGCTTTGATCATAATCCTCTAGACTGAACTGATGTCTGGCAATTATTCTCTGGCATGTAGAGGGCCCTCACTCTCTACAGCATAGAGAACTGAATTCTCATTTCCTTTTCACATCCAGGCTCACGGGTGCACTCACGCTTGCCACTTGCTTCAGAGAAAATCATTTCAGAAATGTGTCCTGTCCAATGTCACCAATCTACAAAGTGCGTATATTACAAATAGTGAAGCATACTGTATTTCAGCATTACCAGAGAATTTGTTTCATAGAGTGAATTCTCTGATTTTGTATGCAGATAATTTAATAGAACTCACATGGAATTATAAATATATATAAATAATATATCTACATTTAATGGAATATAATTAATGTAGTTCAGGTGGGTAGCTGCGTCAGCATGCGTAGGCTGCAAAGGAACAAGTAATAGGTTTATTCCATTATGAAAAAAAGAAGAAAGAGAACACAACGTTTCGGCCGTGGAGCCTTCTTCAGGTGTGAGAACCTTCTTCGGGTGTTCTTCAGGTGTGAGTATAATTAATGTAAACAGCTATTTGATTCAATATTAATAATGGTACGCATCATGTTCAACAGTACTTCATTCTCAGCGAGCTTTTCAAAACAAGCTGCCTCTCTCCTGAAACAATTCTCAAACTAATGCATCTGTTGTAATATGCTCTGATTGAAAGTTTCTAAAACCATTTTTTTTTATATTCCAGTGCATCATCCAATTACCTTTAGGTGGTACTAACGTTAGGGGGGTCACAGATAGCAAAGAACTTGATTTGGACTTTTTTAAAATTATAGCAAGTCCCTGTATATGCAAGGACACATGTCATTATGTTCAACCAGCAATCAAACAGTCTCTTTCAAGTGTCTGAATCAGGAAAAATATAAATAAATTATACTCATTTTCAGAAACGGTCGCTCTCCTGAAAATGTAATAAATTAATGTTCTTGCAATTTTGGTCGTTTATTAACATGAACAAAGAATAATTACTAGTGCTGACATTATGTGGAGAACAACTTGCTTCTCACTAAACAATTATTTTATAATATCTCTTAGTAAAAGAAGGTAGTGATATTGTTTCTGCATTCGTATTCATACATCAACCATTTTACCCGTTTTGTCTTTTTTAATTTTTAAAATATTTTTTAATCACAAAGAACATTTCAGTACAAATACAAAGTTTCAGGCAAGTAAAAGTCATTGAAGAAAAATTACTTGAAAATAATGAAAGGTGAAAAATAGGGATAAAAAGGTTGGCAGACCTTAAAACCGATTATTGTGAAAAAAGAAGAACTAATAATAGAGTTGTATTATAACGGGCAGTGTTTTGCAATAAAAATATAGTATCATAAATTAAACGTGTTAGTTGTATTTAAATAAACTGAGAGTTAAGATAGTTACGGTGTGTGTCAAAGTTCACTATATCGACTTGTGAAAAAGATGCTTAGCAAGTTTAAAAAAAAAACATTTTATCGCTTCAATCAAGATACGTTAACCAGTACCATCCTAACTAAATGAAATTAGCAAACTCATACCAAAAGGTCACATTGATTATGCATTGCTATTTAGAAGAAGAGACATCCGAGAGCAAATGCACCACCCGGCGCCGATGTGCCACAACCAAGATGGCTGCTTGCGGTGCCGGGAGGGGCTCGCAGTCTTCCGGCGGCGTCGTGTTGCTATAGCAATGAGGGACGCGCGCACTGGCTCTCGCGATGGCACGGGGAAGGGGCGTCACCCCCCGCCCCACAAGTGGTATTTTTCTGGCTTGTTCAGCGAGCGGCGGAATCAGGATGTGTACGCGCTGCGGCTGCGTACGCCTGTGTGAGTGAGGCGCAGAGGGCGGCAGTGTTGCAGCCTCGAAGGGGAGTGTGTGTGTGTGTGTTTGATTACAGAGTGCCGAGCCGACCCGACCCGGACACATCTCGGAGCCGAAGACCCGCGGAGCCAAGCGAGTGGCATGGCAGCGCCCCGGCCCATCAAAGGGATCCTGAAGAACAAGCACAGCGGGGCCGGCGCCCAGACAGGCCGCGGAGTGCCGGTGGTGGAGATCCCCGAGAGAGCGGCGCCGGCGCCTTTCGACGAGGATCAGCAGTGAGTATAGACGTCTCTCTCTCTCTGTGTGTGTGTGTGAGAGAGAATTAAAAGAAAAAAACATACACGCCGCAGGTGGCCTTCCGTATTTGAGTTGTTAACCGAGCTGCTGAGGCTCAACCTGGGGTTAAAGAAAAGTTGTGTCGTAGCAAGGTAAAATGATCTTCTCTTTGCGGGACTTTAATTAACCGGCGGTTGCGGGTAAGATCCTGATCAGATTGCTCCACAGACCAGAGTGTTGAATTAAACTAAGGCGTCAAGCTTTGTACTACGTGTTGCTGCTGCTGCTCTTGTGATGTTACCGGCGACGGGCAGTTACTCCGGTAGCTCTGCGCCTGAGTAGTAAGGTGCTGTTTCTGAACTCAAGCTTCTGGGGAAATGACCATCTCTTTCGTGCGCCTTGTGGACATCTTATTTGCTACACAACGCGCCCCGGCCGCCGTGAGATTGCGAAGGCGAAAAGTTTCCGATGAATTTTGTTTGTTTTGCGCTCTGACAGTTCACTGCCACCGCTTTGAGTTCTGGTGTCTTGGAAATGGTTTGTATTCCTCTTTTAAATTACGAAATTACGATTCAGGCACAGGTAGCGCCAAAACAAATCGATGGAGACTTAGCTAACAACAACAACAACAGCCTGCGAACATTTTCCCAGTCACTTAATTTAATTCAATTCCCATTCCGCAATGGAGAACAGACCCGTTTGTCGCTGAATTATATTAGCCGGACACGGACCTAAGATGCGACGTGTTTTTGTTTTGTGCCGATGGTCTTGAGTGAGGGAAAGTACACCCTTGCGCAGACCCTGCTCTAAACTGGCGGATCTTATTTTTAACCGCACTGATTGACGCTGAGTGTGTGCCGGCGCCTACAGATGTGCGTGTTTTCAAATCCCCCCCGAGTCCTCAGCCATCGGTCCAGCGTACGCGCCGAGCTGCCGGGATGAAGCGTTGTCACCGTGTCGGTGTTGCAAGGACCTCCCTGCTCCGCCTTTGAACGCCCGGCACAGAGAGAGACGGAAGAAAAACACGATTTGCTCTCGCAGCCGCCGCCTCTGGGCCAGCGGAGCTGCAGGTGGAGGTGACGGCTTGAGTGACGACGGGCCCCCGAGTGCCCGCGGCGACATGTTAAAGCGGCGCCGTGGCCTGTCCACCAGCACAGGCCTCGTGTCTGAAGAGAGCTTCACCCATGGCTGCTCTGTGAACTCCTTCAACCCTCCCGGAGCCGTCTTGGTCAAGCCCTTGACTTGTTTAATTTCAAGGTGTCTTTATAAAGTCGAAGCCCCTGGAGGACTGGGAGAGACCGTTCAGTTGGTCCTCTTAAGGCCGTTAGCAGATGGTCTGAGCTGGACTGGAATGACGAGCAGAGAAACCAGTTCACCAGGACTGGACCCCCTGAGCTAGGGAGCTCTAAAGATGTATCCGGTGGGGGCACTGGGCTGAATGTAGTGTTTATGGATTATGGGTCAAATACTGAGCACATGTTGTTCTCTCTCCAGGATTCCAGTAAAAGTGAAGGTCTTGGGACTGGGGTGGGCATATAGACACTGCTGAAGCCCGTCATCGTGTTTGAGCTCCAGTCTGTTGATATTCCTTCAGCCTTGGGCTAAGTCTGAGACTATGCTGCTCATAATGTAAAGGATTGTTCGGCTTCTAATGAGAAAAGAATTGCAGGAAGTTAATATCCCCCAAGGGTGCCAGCTGGCATAAACAACAAGTTATTTCTTTTACATATCTAGAGCTCTTCAATATCGTCTTCCGTTTCTGCATTCTGTGGATTCTTCTGTGTCGCGGCGACAGTAGTGCAGCGCACGGAGTCGCAGACTGTGCTGGGCTTGTACTCTCTGTCATTCCTTTTTAACATGAAGTCGGCTGGGGACTCGTGTCCGTGGCTGTGTTTCAGAAACCGGGAGCTAATTTTAACTGAAAATGACGGAAGCTAGTCTGCCTGTGTCTGCCGTTCAGATCCACATGCTGTTTGTGCTTTTCTCTGGCACCCCCCCTGTTCCAGTTTTCTTCGTCATTCAGAAATATGCATTTTTCTAGACATGTTTTTTTCACCACCCCCCCTCCAAGAGTGTGAAATAACATCTTTATGGGTTTGTAAGGATGCGGCTCGCTTGATTTATTTTATTGTCGAGTGTATCAGGTTCAGTAGTTAATCAGGGGATGGTGACATTTTTATATTCGTATGAACTATGACTTTTTAACATGGCACACGGTGCAGTTATAACTGTTAGCATTTTATCCACTGTAGTAAGCAACCCCCCCTCATGTAAATATTATTAAACCTAAATCTGCTGATTGTATCAAACGGTTGGTCCTTTCAAAATAAGATAAGCTCCTTTCAGAGCTGATAATATAAATGAATGTTATACTCCGAGTTTCAGTATTATACTAAGGATTCTCTGTTGGCCTAAAAATAGCCTCTGTGGAAGCCTGCGCAGGAACACCAGGAGCCAGATCCGCAGAAATGGAAGCTCTTGGATTCACAACAGCACTGCTTTCAGCATCGACCTCTTGCTGCGGAGCCTCTTCAGCCCACTTCCCTGGAAGAGAAAATGTAGATTGGTGTTACTCCTGCCCATTGAGAGAACCCTCGCTTTGCTTTTGTTTAGAATCCATTTTCATTAAGGAATAAACTTGACTAAAAAGCGCATGTTTCCAGACCAGAATTTTTCTCTCTTTAACATGTGCTTGAATTGTTTTTTTTTTTTTTGTTCCTTTACCCACCTACAAAACATCCTTAAGGTACTGAGGGATTTGCACACTTCTGTGAGAAATTGCTTACTAAATCGTTTAATGCTCTGCATCAGTTAAAGGTGTGTACTCTCAGGCATACGCTTAGTTAAATGCACAAGGTCACTGTTTTCTGGTCTTAAATTTATTTAAAACCTTAAGATGATACTGTCTTTCTTATCTCTGCAGCTCATCAGTGGTGGGATGAAGTGAGTCCTCCTGTATGGAAAGCGCTATATACAGTGGGCGTAGAAAGTGAAAGTGTAGAAAATATTGATTCCTGTCTATTTTGTCGTGTCACATCTGGAAGACTTGATATTCTTTTTTCCACCTTTTGAGCTGTGCAATGTCCTCTGCAATATCCATCTGTTTTAAAGTTTGGAGCAAGAAAATAAATTGGTTAAAAGTTAAAAAACAGTTAAAATCTTAATTGGGAGTAGTATTCAGCCCCTTAGCATTAACTCTCCTTAATTGGCTCACCCAGTTGCCTTCAGACTTTGTGCAAATGTTGATTGGAATCCACCTGTGTGCAATCAAAGTGGTTAACCATCCAGATTGAACACGCCTGTCGTTGTAAGGTTAAATACACCTGTCTGTGTGAGTTCCCACGATTGGACAAAAAGCGATATGAAGACAAAGGAGCTTCTGGAACAAATATGAAACAGAGTTGTAGTCGGAAGAGCAATATAAAAAGATTTCAAAGGCAAATCAAGTATCGCGAAGTGGAGGGCACGTAAAACTACTTAGGATCTTCAATGACCAGGCCTCGGCAGCCAAGAAAGACATTGGTCAGAGAAGCAGTGGTGAAAATAACGCTCCAAAGCCTAAAATGTCTCATAGTTGAGATGGAAGAAACAGTGAGTGAGTCAGCAATAGCTCAGGTGCTCCACAGATCTGGGCTGTATGGTAGAGTGAGTGGAGGAAGCCATATTTGAAAAAGGCTGACATGAAGTCCCAAGACCTGTAGGAGCCTCTTGAGACAATGTGGAAAACATTCTGTGGTCTGATGAGACAGTAATTGAGTTTTTGGCCTTAATGCCAAGTGTTGTGTCTGGTGAAAGGAGGGCACCACTCGTCACACGCAAAACACCATCCTCACTTTGAAGCATGGCAGTGGCAGCATGATGTTGTGGGGTTGCTTTTCATCGGCAGGGTCTGCTAGGCTTGTCAAAATAAAGGGCAGAATGATTGGAGCAAAGTATTAGATAAGATAACATCACTTTATTAGCCATATACAATTTCTTGCATTAGGAATTCATCTTTTTCGCATACCCCAGCTTGCTCTCCATGAGACATGGAGAGAACGGACAGGGACAGGGAGAGAAGCTTGGGGTCAGAGCGCAGGGTCAGCCATTGTACAGCAGCCCTGGAGCAGTCTGGGTTAAGGGCCTTGCTCAGGGGCCCAACGGAGTAGGATTCCTCTGCTGGCTGCGAGATCCTGAAGTAAAACCTGGAACTGTCTGCAGGAGATTCATACTTAAACAGAACAATGGCTCCAAACACAAAGGCAGTGACTTGAAAAGAAAAGATGGAAGTCCAGGCTTAAATCCCATAGAAAATCTGTGGTAGGACCTGAAGATTTCATTATGGCACCACCCCTCTGTTACCCTGCAACAGATGGAGCAGTTTTGCAAGGAAGTGTGGTCAGACATTAAACCCACCAGATGTGTAAAGCTGGTTTCAACACAACGCAAAAGTCTTGAGTCTGTGATTGTTGCCAAATGAGGAGGAACTGATTTCTCAATGCCCAAGACCTTGGGGGGGTGAGGGGGAAACCTGTCCAAGCTGGATTTTTTAGTTTTCTATTTTTCATAAACTTTTCTTCTACGTTTAAAATGATTCCATCCTATCAATATATTAAGTAGGCAGACTAGTTTTGGTAAATTGTACAAACAAATGTTCAAATGTGTTGCGGTTTGAGGTTGTTACACTGCAAAAATGTCGTAGAAGTCCAAGAGGGGTCAGTACTTTGTACAGCAGCTGTAAATGCAAGGAATTATGCTGTATATCCTGCTGATGCTAGACTTTTATTGCAAGGATGTTTAACAGCTGTAATATTTCTTCCCAGAGTCTCCCTCTAATGCAGGCTCATGTCTGATAATCCCATGCTTTGTATTCAGGTGGGATCTTTGGAGAACCTTCTGTAGGTGATGAAAAGCACCAGACGACCTTGAGAGTATCTGGTTCATTTCACCTCACTTGTAAAATAACCTGCCTTCACCCCATGTGCCCTCCTGTCCAAGCGTGCACTAACATTTGCTCAGTTCACAGGCATATTCAAAAAAGTACACCTGTTTATTATTTTTAAAATGCCTCAAGACAACCATTTTGATGTTAACATTTTCTCGGATGCTCGGTTCCAAGTTTTCTTCAGGAAATCTAGGTTTGACTTGGTAACTGTAGTGCTCAGTGTGTGTGCAGTAGGCGGATGAAACAGCTGTGGAGGACAGGGCACTCTGAATCTTCAGGGAATGTCAATGCTAATTGTTTCTGAAATGGGCCTGCTTTGTAATCTGAAACCTCGTTTTATCAAGGCTTGCTTTTAAGAGCATGAAAATTACAGAAAATAAATGGTGGTAAAATGGAAAATAATTTAATTTCACGCATATACTATATAGCTCTTTATTCTAATACTTAAAGTTTGGATTATTAATCCATATCTGGGTACTGTGTTGCATTTGAGTTTTTTTATATATATAGTTAAATTTGTTAAAACTGTATAAAACATTCCTTAGACTTTTCTTTCAATAGACATTTTCCAGATAAGACCTTGTAAGGATTAAATTAATTTTTGTTGCATTGTATTGGTTCTAAAATGTTTCATCTGAGGTATTTAATTTTTATCAAGGATGTAGAAAAAAATATATAATCCTGTTAAGAAGTATTACTGGAAGGTTTTTTCAATTAAAGTGATTTTTTCCTTCAGTATGTCTGTTGCACTGCTGTGTAGTATATTCTCGCCATTGAATGTATGCGCTTTTTTATGAGCTGTTCATGGGATTTCCTGACAGACCAATTTCTCAAACCTCGGGATGTACAGTATAGAAATCCTGTGCACCTGAACTCAAACAATCGTTTTTTCCTGTGGAGGAAAATGGATTGATTTTCCCAGGAAGAAAAATAGCCCCTTGAATTTGTAAGGCCTGTATCTAATGAACAAAGTCAGTCTCCTTGCATCATCTTCACATTCTGCTCTGAAACTGGATTTGGGTGCATGACAAGTGATGGTGAGTGATATTGGGCTGAAATTAGCAAATGAAAAGACAGTACAGTACAATGTACTATTTTCTTTCCCCAATCCTTAAGTCTACTGTTTCATTGCATGGGCCGTGCTTTTCAATATCCTCAATGCTAAAGCTATCAAGACTTTATTTATTATTCATTGATTTGAATTACTTTTAACTGTGCACAGAGCACAGAAACCTTATCTCATCCGGTGTACAAGTTGACACGTCTTTGTGAATGACGGATTGGTGGTTAGGTTGTGTTTGCACTTCACATTGCTTTCTACAGTGAGACTGCTACCTCTGAAAATAAAACTTGAATGTTCTTTTTTTATATTTATGGTTTGTCATAACTTCTTCTTGTCTTATGTGTTGTTCATAACTCGAGCACCTATCGAGTGAGGGCCCAGTCAATGTGATTGTTCTTTTTTAAATATTTAGTAGTTAATATTCATATGCTGTAGTTTGGAATGATACTTCTTTTCCAGATCCAAAGCACCTTTTTAAATTTTTTTTTTGTTTTTTTTTCTTTTGGACCCCCTTTTTCCATTTTTTATTTTGAGGTTGTTGCATTGTTTTCCTTTCTTTATTGGTTTTTGCGGGTTTCTTTTTTTGGCTTTGTTTTTTTTTTTTTCCTTTTTTTTTTTTTTTATTTTTCTTTAATGTCTTAAGTATATTTACTGTAGCTGATGTAGCAGTTCACAAATAGTACAAGAGACTGCTACAGCCTTAGGGGAAAGGTAATTTAATTTGTATAATATAAAGAAATCATTTGTAGTTGCAAGCATTATGTAGAGATGTGTTTTTTGGTTTGTACTTAATATACCAGTTTATTAGTGATGGCGCCCTGCATTACTTAATTCTGCATATGTGTTCCAAATTCTAAAAGTACAGACGCATGTATTGAGAGCAGACCGGCATTGTACTGTAGGTGGGACAATGAGAGTTCATCGCTCTCAGAAGTATTAATCTATTATATTAATAATATTAATCTATTAACTGTGCACACCTTTCCCAAGTGATGTTTCCTGACTCACTGTCACTTATTCCCAGAAACCCATTCATTTCTTTCCCAGGGGATGTATATGTGAAAATTGCCTGGCTTGGGTATTGCCACAATTTAAGCATCCATATTAATGTTCCTTATTGTTAGGAGTGACACTTGCAGTGATAATTGAATCCTTAAATGCTGTTATTGTTAGAGGTTTAGCATTATCTGCCCTAGCTGACTTCATAAGTTTAAAACGATTTTCTTTTATGATAATGATATCATTAAGAAAATTGCTCTTTGAGATTCAGTTATTTTAAACAGTTTATTCAATGATGATTTTTTTTTATTGATTCTTAAAGATGAGGGTATGGTTGGAACTGAAAACAAGATGCCGTGATCTGAATTAAACCCTTTTGTTTTTCTGAAGGAAGTTTGAGTTGGTGAGCAAGTGTGAGAGCTGGAATGAAAAAAAATAATATTCCAAACATATGTTCATATTTTTTTCTAGTGTCTTGGGGTGATAATTCTAAGTAAGATTTAATGTCTGGAAATACAAAAAGCAATAGATGGCAATTTGTGTCTTAACCATGTTGATAAACTATAATGGTCTGATTCCTTACTGATACAGATCACTTGACTATACATAGGATCATATTGAGGTTAATTTTAGAATATATATATATATATTCCTAAATATGTAAAATTATATGTTAAAAACGTGGAGGGTGTTTGGCTCATTTTGACCATTTTGTCGTTCATAGATAAATGAGATTCTAGAATCCCATCCAGCCCTTTGAAGGAAGCCAGTATATCAGCTTTACCAACATGGCTGGGTTGTTTCTTTCAGACTCCCACAACCCTTTCTGTAAAAATGTTGTCAGTTCTCAGTTTTAAATGCATTTCTGTGTTGTTTCTATTTGTGTCCCCTGGTTCTTCTGTTTTGCTGCTGATTCTGAAGAAGTTTATAGGGCAAACATTGTCACTGTCACTGAATGTTGAACACTTGGATTGGGTCCCTCCTCAGTCTCGTCTATAAGCACAGTAAGAATGCTGTGCCTTGTGTAAATGTGTAAAAACAGGGAGCGAACTGGCTACACTTGTCAACTCCGAACAAAGTTTTTTGTCATTGACTCTCTTCTCTCATTTGGGTGGGTTAAAGTAGGAATTATGTATAAGCTGTGGATTCTGTTTGAAGTTTTGTTTCTTGTCTTATTTGCCCATGTTATACAAATGAAAGATCTTACAGGCATGTGAATGCTCAGTGTGTAGTTTTCTGTACAGAATATGTTAAACGATATAATACCTGCTTCAATTAAATGTTTTTAATTAATGGATGTGTAGCTGTTTTAGCTATATACGTTATCAAGAATAAATTATCCTAAATCTTGTTTTCCAGTATACATCCCATTATTTTGAAATTGGTAATTAGTCTCTTGCTTGAATAAATGAATATGAAATGATTCATTATTGGATTAATTATCTGATGTGTTCTACATGGGACATCTGTTCCCCCCCACTGAAACAACACCTTCATCGTACCTTTTAATCCATTTGTTGTTTAGAAAGAAGTCACAGAAATGGGATGAAATGAACATCTTGGCTACCTACCACCCTGCAGATAAAGATTATGGATTAATCAAAATTGATGAGCCCAGCACACCATACCACAGGTAGGTGGAGAGAAGCAGCTTCCTGAAATGTCTGCTTTGAAGCAATAAAATATTAAATATTTCTGGATTTTCAGGAGCGAGTACTCGCAGGTTGCCAAAGGAGTTAGCACAATCAATTTGAAAAGTAAAACAAAAAAGAATGACCTAACATTGATTCGGGGAACATGGCAATTATGTCAAATAAAGACTCTCCTCACGGGAGTAATTGGATTTAATATGTTCATTGGAGCATGCAGAGCACAAGGTTAGCTTATAATTCCTTTATAATTTTTACTTGTGCTTAAGCCATTCTGTAAAGGACTAACTGCGTGTTAGAAAATGGAAAAAGTTACTCTGCTGATGCTGCAGGCTTAGTGGCATTTTTATGTGAATAATTTCTGACTGTGTTCCCTATAATTCCCATCTTCCAGGATGGTAGGAGATGAGGATGATGAAGGAGCTCTGAGTGATTCGGAATCGAATACAGGCCTTACTGCAGACACCTTGGCTATGAAGTAAGCATTGCGTGTAAGAATTTTCAACCGTTGGCATGATGACGTGCTCATTCATTTAAGTTCTGCAACATGACTGAAAGCCCTTTGGTGAGACAGGCCAGATGGTCCTTGTTGATCATGCAGAGATAAGTAACTGCCTTGCACACTAATGCCTTGCCTACACTTTCAAATACTTAACTGCGTGTATTTGTAGCTACAGTGGATTTTTTTCTTTTACATGGATGCATAGAGTTTTGCTTGCTTAACAACCTAGTTAATAAATGGTACTGATGGTGGTTCTGTTGTACATTCATACATTCAACTGCGTCAATATTGTTATAGTGCAACGTAAATATTTGTGAAAATTATTTACTGTCAGACCTTTGTTTTGTGCTCAACATCAGTACATTGCATGCATATTGACAACAGCCTGCAAGCTGAGAGTAACAGCCAGGTTACATAAAGTCTGTATTTAAATTGTGCCTATATATCATGTTTTTAGGCAAGTCTACACTATGTAATCCCAGTGAAAATTTTGAATTGATAATGGAATGTCAGTGCGCTATAAAATCGTTAAAGGAGCAAGTAAAAAAGTATTTTTTGCTATGTATGTTCTGAATGACCCAGTAATGAAATGTGGTGGGACTTTTTAGGGTAGTCAAAAGGCTGTAAAGAAACTGCTTTTTATGTAGCTCTTAGAGTAAAGAAATGAAAGAAATGTATAGCTCAGTAAAACAGGCTTGGAAGGTGACAAGGAAGTAGAAGTAGTTTCTGTATGCTGATCTTGTTCATATGTCCATTTGGTCTTGCTTCAGTTATGGAGGTACAAGGTTAGGATCAGGAGGAAATGATTTCTTCTGTGTGGTAATGCAATTCATTCATTATAGTACCGGTAAATTAAAAACTAGAACAATCGGATTAAGTTCCTAGAAGAATGCTTCAGCTGAACACGCTGCAGTGCTCTGATTAATAGCAAGCCCTAAAACGGGAGTCAAAACTGTCTGACCCCACCAGGCTCGAGGGGTCCAGGCCTGTAGACCTGTCTGGCAGCCAGGGCTGCTGTTCACTTCAGCTTGGCCGACACTTTATCTTGTAGAAGCACCGAGAGGTGAATAGCAACTGGCCATCCACTCTCGTAGTGTCTTTGTCTTCATTCCACTAGCTGACTGCCTTTTAAGGCGAAACGGCTTCCTGCAGGGCCTAGAAGGTTTGCAAAGACTGTTTGTCATGCCGTTGCCTTTGATAGTCTCAGTAAGAAGATGTATGTGATCCTGCCAACATTGTGTTGTTGTGTCCTCTTGCAAAATAAGCCTTTTCTGTCTTTTTAATGCCTTTTGACCAATCCCAAGCTTATCAGGAGGTGGCTAACCTCTTAACAAATAGATATAATTCTTTATATAAAGATGTTTGCCAAGAAAACCCTGTTTCTTTTTATTCGTCAGATTGTGATAAAAAAACGTTAAGCACCATTATTCTACCCATAGATCTACATTTAATTTATGAAAACAATATAGATTAAGGCAGAACATTAATCATCTAATAAAATAGAGCACATCTGATGTGCTGGAGAAGTAATTCATTAGTAGAGCTTACTTAGTAGAGATCTTTGGGATTTTTTATTTACAAAACATTCCCACCTAGAGGATTTTGGTATTTAGTTTTTTAGTATTTTAGGATATTATTAGTATCGGTGCAGTTTTTGTTATTAGATTTTATAGATATTTCTCCTAATGTCCAATTTAATCAGTAATTATAAGTGTTTCTTCCAGATAGGCTATTCAGCTCTTAGAAAGTGATAGCAATAGATATCCATTTATGACTTGAGCCTCTGGACTGGCATCCTTTGTTGAATATTCTTTCATCCATGTTTAACAGTCTGTTTTGTTCTATTATAGTCTATTTTTCTCCTCTTTTATGAAATATCCCCTGTGGATTGTAACATCCATCAGTTGTAACATTGATGTGATGAAAACAGTTTTCGGAAAAAGGAATTTAGGTGTGCAGGTACACATTTTCTTTTTTAGTATACACTCACCTTGTGTCTTTGTGTGTTTAACTCACTTTACAATGTTTTTTGCAAGCATTTTTTGTTTCGTGTAGGACAAGGTGTAGTAAGGTCAACTGTAAGTAAGGTTTACTTGCTTGTCAGTACTGTAACTATTGTTATTTATAATAGAATATATTTACACCAGCCATTTTTAAATAAAATAATGCATTATATGATTTTTATATAGGATTTTTGTTTTCAAGAAAAATGTGTTACAGGTGGATGTGAGCAATTTCCTGACATCATATGTATCTTTCCACAAAACTGAATATCGGTATTGGATGTTTTAGAAAGTGAGCATAGCAATAGTGATCCTGAGTGTGTTTTTATGGTTAGACTCATGGCAATGTTAAACCTACCTGTAGTTTGTAATTGAAGAGTGTCCATTTTAATATAGCATCTGTATCTTCTCCAGTTTCAAACTGTAATGTGGTGATGTGTGCCTTAGTTCACAGGGCATTTTGCTTTCAAAGGAAAAATGTTAAGATGTATCTGTCCTTCTGAAAAGGCAGGGTCATTGCCTGAGAGCAGGATTTTAATTTGAGCTGGATTTGTGCTCAGATTGAGGAGTTCTTGCACAACTGGCTTCCAGACCTCTGCTTGAATCCTTTTAGTACAACTGGCCCATGTTTGATTACTAAGTAACAGTTCTTCTAAGACAATTATGGACGGAAAAAGAATGTTCCACCTCAGCTGATTCTAACATTAAATTGCACATGAAGGAAAACCAAGTGAGCGAAGCTTATCCAGAAATATCTGACCTGCTTTTGTTTTTGAGCGCTTTTTAATCAGTTCAGCCATGCATAATGACCACCGCGCCTATTGCTGGCTTCTCGCAGGCTGGCAGCAGCAGAGGGAGACGAGCCCAAGATTTTCCAAAGGGTTGAGGAAGAAGAGAGCAGCGAGGAAGAAGAAGAGGAGCTGACCCCAGAAGAACAGGGTGGGCTTTATCTCCTTGTTGCCTTGGCCATGGTCACTTTTGAAGCTGGAGCTAATTGCCACCAGCTGTACACCTACAGTGGTTGATTAGTGTAGAGATGTCTTTCCTTCTTCCCAGCTGCATGCTTGGGCCCTGCACTTCAAGTATTTGTATTTTGTCCATCAAACTGTAGAATAATATAGGGTATGTTCCATTTCTTGTGATAAATCATTTCTATTTTTGTTTGGTTTCCTGAATGATCCACTGTAGAAATTATGCTTCATATTTTTTATTTTTACAAAAGTATTGTGCTGTTGTCGTTTCTCTGTCCTATTTACTTCTCTTGAATTTATTGTAGAGTTACAGAGCATTGGAATTGTGGCATCGGTGCTTTCTGCTGATTAGTCCCATACAGAAAATGTATAAGATTTAAATAAGATGCAAGAGAAAATAAAAAAGTATGAGCGTATGAAGTATGACAGTGACAAATGTGCTGTTCACAGTGTGTTTGAAAGTAATATGAAGAAAAACAATAAACTGCTGTAGAATGTTAAAAGAAATTGCTGTTTCACTAGCTGCTTCAATTTAATAATTGTAATGTGGAAGATTATTTGAAATAGTTGTTTTTGTCTTTGCCAGTGTATCTGAAATCACTCTGCACTATTCTGTACAATCTGTATCTTATATAGATTGATAGTAATTGTTTATCAAGTACATCCCCTGCAAATTAAGTTAGTGTTTCCGGGAAGCTTGTGCATAATTGTTTTTTGGATCTTATAATACGTCATACTGCCTCCGGACTATTTGAAGAGTCATTTAGTGCTGGAAAACCTGCATCATTCTTTTCCACTTGATTAGAATCTAATTATACTGTGAAGGAAAATCCAATGTTTGTGGAATGAGGCTATATTTATTAATTTGACCATAAAGTAATACTGTATGTGGTCTTCCATGACCTTTTTACTTTTAAATACCACTTAATTACACAACTGTCTATCCGTCTACATTATACGAGGAATAAATGAATTAATCAAGCTCGATCGATGACATAAGCTTACTGAAGCATTTTGACAGCTTACAAAACAGGAACTTTATGCAGTGACAGAGAGGAGAGGTGAGATTTAAAAACTGCATACATTTTCTTCGACTTAAAACTAGGTCCTTGAGCCTAATGTCCCAAAAAACTGTACAGTCAGCTTCTTTATATATAGTTTTTTATGTTCCTTGCTTGCATTTATTTTGTACTCTTCACTGTAATGGTATCTTGTTGAAAAAATGTCTTGTTTATATGTATAAACCACAACATGGATTCCTCACAGATTTTAACAGATCTTGCGTTTTTTTTATTCAGCAAAAAGGGAGCAGTTTGAAATTATGAGGAAGATGCATTACAATGAAGGCTTGAACATTAAATTGGCCAGACAACTGATAGCAAATGAACTTGACGAAGAGGAGGATGAAGATGAAGAGATGAAGGAAGATACAGAGACAGAAGACATCAATGTAGACCCTCCAGAACATGGTGAGTTACTCTTTTATGAGACTTGTAGATTAAAAATGTGAAATCCTTTATACAGGCATTGAGTGTTTAATAGTAATCTAACACCCATCTGATAGAACATCAGTCAGCATGGAAAATACCCAAAAGCACTTACTTTTGAAAGCACATACAGATTTATTTTACCTGGAGTTTAATTTGTTTTGATAAGACCTATGAATATTGCTTTATAACAGCAGATCTATCCTGCAGTGATCTGTTTGGCTCTAATCACTGTTGTCTCTAAATTGTGAGGTGCGAGCTTCCAGAATCTGGCTCTAGATCAAATGTTGATTCAATTAATGTGCGTTCGTTTTAAAGTTCATGGTGACTCAGGGATAGAACTGCACACAGCATTATTTAAGGAATTTGACACTGTAGTATTTTTTTCCATGCTTTACTACCCTGGAAAACCCTTGACATCATTTTACTATGATTGAATTTATATATACTGTTTTAGTACTCCTTTTAATGAAGATGAAATCATTATGCTTTGTTGGATATACGTCTATATTTTCATAGTAAAAGTAACTATCCACCTCCTTTTCTTTGCAGCTGATCCACAAGATTCCTAGAAGAAAAAGAACACATTTGCTCTGGCTCTTAGGTGAACATAAGATTCACTTAAGTGAATAAAAGACATGAGTAGTTGCTTCACAGCTGATCAAAGAAGACACTGCTTCGTGATCCTGCCATTCACATCTCTATTTATGAACACTGTAAATGAAGCATATCTACCAAACAGTTGTTTCTTCTGTTGCCAAGATTATAATTATAGTTATTGTTCATCTAAGGAAGTAGACTAATATGGGGAAAATGGCATAGAGTTTTTGCTGCTTTCTGTATGGTAGGTTTTAATGCCTGTGGGCTCTCCCATATGAAAGGGAGATACCACTTTACCTGCACTACAGTAAGATAATTCAGCTTCTTGTTTTTTTCTCTTGGCTACCTGTTCAGCGACAGCCAGAAGCACATTTCGTGACTTTCTAAGAGTGATTTGCTACTGTTTAAGAAATGTTTTTTTATGTTTGCTGCCTGAGGAATTAAGATGCATTTCAAATCAACTTTAATGCAAACATTTTATGGACAGATATTTTCAAAAGATCTAGCACTGATTTCCTCATTACGTTTGGCTATATATATTTTTTAAATTGGGACTTCAGCAAATCTAAAACAAAAAAGGTTTTAAAAAGCAAAAGTGTTGTCATAACTCTTGTTTATTTCACTGGCACTGATGTGTTTGCTTGTTCAGTATTAAAAGCAGGGCAGCATGGGAGTTTTGCTTGTTTTCATATGAACAGCTGACAAGTGTGGGTTATTGACAGTGTAACTAGTGTCATGTCTTTCTAATAATGGTTTTTAAGTCAGGTTTTCTGATAATAAAAAGGTTGTTCTGGGATGCCCATTTACCTTTGGGACTGGTATTCTTTCTTGCCTTCAAATTTACACTTTGTTTATAAATTACTTTTGTATCCATTTCTTGGATGAGTAGTCAATGTGGGATAAAGCCTTGTAGGGAAAAAAAAAAGAAATTCAGTTTAACTGGGAAGTTAATCAGTACCCTTTAGTCTCTACACCACATATGAGATTGTATTTGATTTTGTTATTAATGATAGCTATGGTTAGATTAACCCTGTATTATTAAATGAGTTGTAAGATTACTACAATCATGTTTTGTAATTCATTCTCATGTATTGCTTTGTTCCTACTCATTTGTTTGCATGGATCTGGCTGGCACATGGTTTTCTTATTATTTAAACATCTCTGTATGCCATATCTATGTATATACAGTATACATAATTTCCCTTTGATTGTACTTGGCTGTGACAATGTATAGATCTTCTGTGGTTCTAATTTAACTGATCTGCCTGTTTTATTCTCAGTTTCTCCTGAAGGATGATATTTTAGTATGAAACAAATTTCCCACACGTGAGGAGTACTACATCTGTTTTTTTTGTAAGTTGACAGGAGACGGTTTGGACTGTTATTCTTTTGGAACACAGAAAGCATGTTCTTAAAATTAAGGATATGTGTAATATTTGGTCTCCATGAATAAATGAAGACATTATACTAAGACAGGCTATATTGTCTTCTTCAGCAATTCCATATGGTCTTTAATTTTTGTTCCTTTTGAATAATATTAAACTTTATTTTATATAGTGCCTTTAAAGGTGGCTTCTCAAAGCGCTTTATAGAATTACAACAAAAAAAATACACAAGATAAGCAGGATGAGAATATACAGAGGAGATAGTAGATGGTGGTATTGAATACAGTAGGAGACGAGGGGTAAAGAACAGAACCAGTTAAGTAAAGGGTCTTCTAAAGAAGAAAGGTATGAGTTTGGATTTGAAGGAGTTTAGAGAAGGTGACTCTGATATCCTTGGGGATAGAGTTCCAGAGCTTTGGGGCATAACAGGAGAAGGCCCTGTCACCCATAGAGTGTAGATGGGCTTGGGGGACAGTTAGGAAACCAGAATTAGAAGAGTGAAGGTTGCGAGGTGGGGAGTAGGGCGATAATAGCTTAGACAGGTACTGAGGTACCAAGCCATGCAGAGCCTTACAGGTGAGCATGAGTATTTTGATGTCGACTCGAAACTTGACAGGAAGCCAGTGTAAGGACTCCAGGATAGGAGTAATATGATCACTTGCACTAGACCTGGTCAGGATTCTGGCTGCTGAATTTTGGACATACTAGAGTTTGTTCAATTTGGATTTAGAAATCCCTGCAAGTAGAGCATTACAGTAGACAATTCAGGAGAAGACAAATGTGTTGATCAGCTTTTCAGCTACAGTTAGTGGATGACATAGGGTGTAGTCTTGCAATGTTTCTGAGGTGAAAGGTTTTGACTATGCTGCACATTTGAGTTGAATGTCAAGCCTGAATCAAATATCACCCCAAGGTTTTTCAATTTAGACTAAAGCTCAGGTACAGTACCATCCACAGACAAGGTTACAGCATTACAGCACTGGCTTTACAAAGTTGATGGGAAGTGCCAATAAGACTTCAGTCTTGTCACAGTTAAGATGAAGGAAATTTTGAGTCATCCAAGTTTGTCGGAGATGGAATTAGATGGAATACAGAGAGCCACAACAGTGTCAGGTTTGGTATGGATGTATATTTGAGTATCATCAGTATAGAAATAATAGTTGAGGCCATCGAAAAGCTGACCAAGTGGAAACATGTAAATGCTGAAAAGTAAGGGGCCCAGTATTGAACCCTGAGGAACACCAGACTCAACGAGTCCAATTTTCAAGGATGTCTATTATATTCATTGCTTTTATATTTATCATCTTCAGTGAAAATGAATATACCAGCTCTTAATGCAAATTTTACATTTTCAGGGGCTTATTTTTATGACAGCATTGGGGTTATATTAAACAAGCCTTATCTAGTATTTAGGAGCAAATGTTCCTGTCTTCACAAATGTTAAGGTAAAAGTTTGTAAAAGAAAGGGGAAGCCCTTCTATATTTTTCGGTTTGTAGTAGCCCGTTGACCCAAGGTTCTTATCCGACTGCTTCTTGAAAGTAGCGCTGATATTGACATTGACAGGATCCTTGAGTAACATACCTTATACGATGAGCTTTCCTGTGGACTGGTAATCTAGTACCTCCCATCTTTACCAACAGTCTAACGAACAGCATTGGAAACCAACACTCATGAAAAAGAAAACGGCAAGATGACTATTTGATTACCCCTAGGAGGAGAGCTCGAAGTTATGAACTCCTCGTTGCATATCAAGATTAGGACTCAACGTTTACGTTTTATGTATTTGCGTCTGATTTTTGTGTATAGCGTTCAAAATATTGCTCGTGTAAATCCCGAGAAAACATTTTTTCCGTATAAAAGTGAATTTCCTCTAGATGGCGATGCCGCGCAGTATTTTTAAAAATCATCACACAGTTGATTTAAACACGTTTACCTTGAGCACAGTGCGATGCTTAGGGATCGCTTTCGGGTCTTTGATTAAATTTAGATTGTAGCTGCTGAATAAAGAATACTATCCCTCCCTGTCCATCTTGTACTTTGCTCGTCACCTTATATCTTGGAAGCGTGTAATCTGAATACAAAACTTACATATCCAGAATCTTTAATGGAGAGCATGGGAAGTTTACATGTTTAAAATATGTTTTGAAAGTATGTGGATGCTGATGTATTCTTCACAATGTGGTTTTAGTTGTTGTTTTTTTTACTTTTTAAACTTCGTGCTTTTTAATGTGACAGTCACCGGATAATGTGAAATACAGTTTAAGTAAACCCACGTGAATGTATTACAAGTATTGAACTATTTGTAAATTTAACAATCACCCAAATAAGGACCGAGAAGTTCAGTTTTAGTAAACCTCCACTTACTAGTATAAAACACATTGGCTTCCACGTTTGGACACAGATCCACACCAAACATCAAGGAGCCTGATTTTCAACACCAGGCAAACTATTTTATGGAGCAGGCAAGTGTGCAAGCCCAAAAAACGGACGCACAGTATTTTCACTCTCCAGTGCTCTGTCACAACATAGTAGATACGGACCAAAGCACTTTTTTCCAGTTAAATAGGCCCTCTTCCGAAGTAAATTGCAATGCACTTGAACATTTAACTTTGAATCATAAGTCAGTTTTAATGGAAATATTAGTTAGCTTTGAAAATGTATCAACTTAATTGCTTGTTGTTAGAAACAGTTTTTTTTACAAAACATTTACAAGCAGCGCCATTTGGATTTGAAAGTAATCTTCCAAGTCACCAACCCCATAGGAAACCCCGTTTCGTCGACAATCGACAGGTTCCTTGCAAAATATTCACTATTTTCTCACTGCAGATAACTTCAGGCATTTCTTACTTTGCAACCTGATTTGCAATTATAGTCACTTCATATACCGATACTGGGGAAACCACAAGTGTTGTAGTATGGGTGTTGTATTTTGTGTCAGCAAACGTAAAATAATATTTGGATACAAAAAAAGCCAGCACGGTACCTGTGCACAAAGCTTAAATTCATTCTTGTGACAAGGAGGGATGGCAATTTCAATTTTATGTAATAATACTAAACTTAGGCTAAAAAAATACAATAGACTCTTGACTTTTATTTTCAGTTTCCTCATGCACAGCTGGGGGGGGTACACACACTGAGCTATTGTGGTGTTTGGTATAAGCAGCAATGTCCATCTCCTCACAGGAAACGGGGAGAAGTCCAGCCTCTTCAGTGTCAGGAGAGCGCTGTAGTTGGTTGGGGAGTCTAGCATTCAACCCGTCTCCATGGCTGGGATCTGGGAAGCTACGGGGAGCTGATTTAGGCTATGTTGAAGGTTGTAGTAGCCAGTGAGAGACTACGTTCCTGGAGGTTGTTGCAATGAGTGGGCACAGTTTTGGGGGGGTATTACTTATTTTCTTACCTTTAGTTTGATAGTGCCGATCGTTCTTGTTTCTTTAAACGCGAACTGTACTTCTTTTTTTAAAAAAAAAGAAGATAAGCAGTGTTCATTTAGGTTAGGACGAGGCAAAAAAAAAAGCAGCTGTTGTTTTTTCTACCTTAACTAATCTTAAAGAAGATGAAGATGACTGTGGATTTCGAGGAATGTCTGAAAGACTCTCCCAGATTCAGGTAGGCCCGCACTTTGTTATCCTGTGAAAGCTTTTATTGTAGCAACAAGGCATGGACATTTTCTTCGTACATTCGTTTTAGCTCCCACTTGAAATCGCGATACAGTGGGTCTAGGTACGGTTCACTCAAGGAGTATGTAGTGTGCACAATAAACTTGAATAATGCATGTAGATTTGCAGGTCATCGGCATATGATCGCGTAAATTGTGTTGTTTTTTTTTAAATCCCTTCTCTTTAAACTCCATAATACTCTACCTGAAGAGTCATTTGACAGTGGTTGTTACCTACGTTATTGTATTTCCAGGTGTTTACAGTTTTACAGTAAAGATGAAGTTGTGTTCGACCTAAGGTTGTGTATACCTTATGCTATATATAAGCATAAACCACGGTCCTTGTTAAAACCTTGAACAGGTCGACAGACCCTGTCGTGTTTATACACTGGGAGACTTTAAGGGCTAAACCCGTATTCTCTAACAGCCTTTTACACTGTCTAGTCTAATATAGCTACGATAGTTTTACATATGGCCTAACTAAAATACGTGTCCCGCCAGTGCAAAGCTGCGTCTTGAGGAGAATTGGAAGTCGGTTTGCGTTACGCTCTAATGGGTCTTAAATTGTCTTTTAAAACACGTTATTTACACTGTCAATATATGCAAGACAGCCTCGTTACAGGTCCAATCCGAAAACGGTTTCCTGCAAATTGTTCAAATTCCCAGATTCTAATCTCCACCCTGTTACCAGCTGTTGAAACGCTATGCCTACCGTATTACCGAGTTTCCTAATTCGGGCTACAGCTTTTGCAACGTGTCTACGCCTGAGCTACAGTAGCTTCCGAAATCGGAGGAACAGGGAGCAGTTTGGGGGGAAAACAGCAAAAGGTTATATCATTTTGCCACCGTAGCTGAGGACAACCTCCCTTTGTTCTGTCGGCACCCCTGAGCCTAACTGATAATCTAGACATGGATGTGCATAACCTTTCAGCATGAGCACCTAAAATCTTGCATATTGCTTGTGTTTTTATAGAATTGCCAATTTTCTTAGGTGGGAAAGAACATGAAGAGGTAGTTCACTACCTTTCTCTAGGTTTGTGATTAATGTTAATGGAAATGGTAGAACTGCATTATACAGTAAAGGACAGAATACATTTCTTTCTCTGTGACTGTGAAGAATTAAATATCCATTGTTTAGGAGCATGTTAAACTAAGAGCTTTGCAAAGAATACTGGAGGGTTTTAATCTGAGTAAAAAATAACCATTCATAGGTTGTTCTGTTTAAAGGCCGTAGTGTTGACCAGTTCCTCATTACAGACTTAGTTGGACTTTATTCACAGCTCTCCTTGGGTTGAAAATCTCAGCCAAAATGACCAAAAAAACAACTGGTATTCCTGTCAGCTTTTTCCAATGTCAGTCCGTTTGGTTAATTTTCCTGACTGCCCACAGTGGACGTCTCATCAAGAGGAACTAGAGAGTGTGCCATGAACCGCACAGACCCGAAAAAGAAGAGTTTTTATAGATCTTCAGTCTGACTTGGCAGTTTCAAATGTTGTGGTTTGGGGCACAGAAAAATTACTTCTAAATCCAAACACAAAACAGGGGTAATTAAATTACCAGTCTGGCATGTTTGCCCCCATGCATAAGTGTTCTGGTTTCCAGAGTATTTCAATAGGTCCCAGATGCCTATTAACAGACTGTTAAATTTTGAGGGAAGATGACCTTTAAGTGTTGGAAGAACAGAGCAGTTGATTTACAAGAAGGGAAAGATGCACATGAAGAAGGTTCAGTAACTAGTGGTGCTTAAGGACACTTTTATTCTGAGATGTTTTTTTCTTGCTATTGCTATATATACAGTAAATATGATCAAGTCTGTGAAATAAGTCACTTATATGAGCACAAGACAATAACAATATAAAAAACAACAATAATGCACACACTGTAAAGACTAGAATATAGAGTCCCTTTGATCCACCTTTGAAAATGGCACCAATGTCATTTTTGTCATATTTGATAGCTGGTCCTTCTAACCCCGGCTGTATTTGACCTTTTTGCCTTACAATTATGTGACAGTATTAATTCATGTAAATGACTAACTGTAGTCCCAACAGATAACCTTTGTAAGACACATATGAAATGGTACTACAGTGTACATCATCATCATCACTATACTGCACTTCATACAGGATTCTGTGGGAGAGTTTCTAACATTTTTGCTCTAGCAAAATGAAAGAGGAGAGAGTGTGCTCTTAAAACAATTAGTAAGGATCTACCAGCTCTTGGTTTGTGTGCTTGTGAAACTTCAGCCAGAGTAGCAGGAAGTGTGTATTTCTTCTTCTTCTTTCTGAATTAAGCTTTGGCCTTCTTTGGTCTGAATTGAAGGGGCCCCTTTTGAAGCCCAGCATCCCTGCAGCGCAATCAGGAACAGATGTTGGAAAGTTAAGAACAGGAAAAATTGAGAGATGGCTTTCTGTGAACACTTCCTTAAGGAATGTGCTTAAAACAATTGAAAGTTCCAGTTGGACACACCTGGTAATCAAGAGACTGTTCTAATGAGTTTTATGTCATGCTGAGGATTCCATTTTCCATTAAGGCTTCAGGAATGCAGGTATTAAAGGGGCATTTGTTTGAGAAAGAAGCTTCCATTTTTCAAAAAAGAAACAGGAACATTTTCATATATTTTTATATTTTGTTATAGTTTTTTTTGGAAATCTTTTGAGATTGAGATTTGAGAGTGTGCCCGAATGATGCATATTGCGTAGAAATTCAAATATACCTGGATTTGTGGAAATCCTGAAGTGGTTGTTCTTATGATATGCAATAATGGAAATAGTTTATAACTTAGAGATGCAAGAGATCAGAATATAATATATGATGCTTTTTGACAAGGTGAAGTGGTTAAACATTCCAAATCCTAGAAAGAACAAAAGTTCCTATACATATATGGGCTTTAACCTTGTTCTGCAATACAGTACTTATTTTCTATACTAATGTGACACAGAGCATACTGTATGTACATGATGTTTCTGACGTGACTGAGCATTTCTGCTTCACTGGGGTCTTGGCAGTATGCTCCCGATGGTTAAGAAATTCTTTTAGGTTTCTTAAGAACATGTGTGTGTTTGGTTACTGAGTCTTTCCATCTGTGTCTTTAATTTTTACAATTATGGAAAGCAGGGGATATACATTTCACTGCATTATGGCAGTTTCTGTATCCTCCAGTTCCAAATGGTTCTTATCCTGAAAATGTTGAGCCATTGGTCTTTCTTAACGTTTCAGGGATGCTAGGATTTTGTGTCTCGTTCCAAAGCCTCAAAGAAAAATGCCTGACACAAAGTTTGTAGAGCAAAAATAATAAATAAATTAAGACAATGTACATGTGAGAAAACGTAGTAAGATTTGGGCACATTTTATTATATAAAATATGTTATCCATATCCACTTTTATGTCTTTTATTGGTTTTGAAATTGATAATAGCAACCACTCAGAAATCATTATTTTACCACAACAGCCTTTTTCCAGTAAATACTGTACATGATCATGAAACATTATGCCCCTGATTATGCCTTTGTGCCACAAATTGGTTGTCTGTTTTACATTCAGAAAAGTATTATATCCATAAAAGTACATAATTCATCATTTGAATATGATTAAGGTAGATGGCATACACCCTGACAATATAAATACAGCGCAAAGCCAAGATAAAAATCACATCATGTATCATGAATATGGTCATTTGTTTGTATGATCTATGTGAAAATAATGCAGACATCCCCAGATGTAAGTAGGTGTAGACATCCAAATCTGTGTCAAGTACACATAGGGGTTATGAGATCCCGCACACTTAACTAGGGTCTAAAAGTCACTTGAACCCTTCTGCTTTTAATAGTTATGAGAATGACATTCAGTGTTGAAAATAGTATTTATTGCACTGTAACTCAATATGCCCTGATTTAAATAACTAGTGCAGTGTGTCTTGGGAGGTCCTTTCCTTTTTGCCAAAATGGCCACGTGCTCTTAACTAGTTTTGATCCTTTAGTATTGTTCACTAGTTTAGTGAAGTCAAAAGTGACAGCACTCTCTCTTGCATTAGGGTTAGGGTTCTGCAAAATTGCCGAGTCTAACTGAACATCTATTGTCGTTAAAAAGGCTACAGTCTCCTGAAAACTATAGCATTTCTTTTGAAAGTTTCCGTACATTTTTTTAATTGACAAACGAAAATGTTATCACGTCGTTCGATTTGAGTAGCAGTCCGTGTTTCGTTATTCTGTGTTTAGCAAGCGTCGCTGGGACTCTTATTGTACTATGCCTGCAGCACACACTGTGTTTTCTTCTGCAGGCCTTGCCCTGCCCTCCTGCTGTTCAGTTCTGTCAGATCCTTGGCTTCGTGTCCTTCTGTTTTCACCGGCAGCATGGTCCTGGGGTGACCAGTAGCCCATCGGGGAGCTGAGGGTACTCTGGAAGCACCACGCACGCCTGCATCTCCTTCATTTTTAATGCTGTGTTTAATTTGGCAGTATTGTGTGGAACTATTTCACAGGAACAGCTGAAGACAAGGTTAAAGACCAGTGTGGAATAACACTATTCCTGACATCTGGTTTCATTTGTGCATCAACCCTGCTGCATCCTGCCTGTTGCTCTCACTGTATCTACCAGTTTCTGTGTGTGAAACACTCCAAAAAGAGGATCTGAATAGGACTTTTAATGGGTTTGACTTAAGATGAAAATGAAAGCAAAGCTAAAAATCTTAGCTAAAAATGATGTTGAAATGTGCTGACATTATTCTGCTGGGTAAAAGGGCGTTTCCTGATGGAATTGGTGTGCCTGGCAGTGTTTGCATTTATGTTTTTATTAAAAAGTCACATTCTAAAAAAAACCTAAGAGTGATATTAATTATGCCTTAAGCATAGCCTTTTTTTACTTTTGTAAATGGGCTTCATCTGCCACCACCAGTTGTTTTTCATATTTTTTACCCAGCTGCTGGGAACAGCCAACTTTTCATCCAGCCTGG